AAATTAATCAAATGCAAAATACAAATATTTAAGAAACGCAATACCAATACAAATACGCAAAAAAATGTAACAAATACAAATACAATTCAAATACAAATACTTGACCCCAACCATGGTTTTTTCATTTGTATACAGCCTGTGTATATTAGGTTGATTTGGCTATTATAGAAACAAGCCTTATCGCTCTGGAGATTTGTATAAACTTGAATATAAACATTTACAACACTATATTTAAACCCATATCTGAAATAAAGTTTTTTCATCATATAAGCACTAAGATAAAAAAATAATAAAAAAAAATTCAGGAATTTGTGTGTTATTACTTTACCAGATATTTAATGGATGGTACACTAAAAAATTGGTTTTAGAAATAAATCTTTTGCTATCCTCAAATTATAAATATAGAAACAAACAAACAAGCAAAAACAAACATATTTTAATGTTATGGTTTAGCATTCGTTATTATTCAAATGCCTTTATAATTGCAATCCGCTTGGATATCATAACCACAAATTTTATTTTAAAATCATATAAAATTTTAAAATCCTTTATATGTAAATTTATAGAATTATACAAATATTATAATAAATTATTTTAGTTTTAATTTTTTGTTTTAACTTTATGAAATTGACTATTTAAGACTATACTTTATACATTTTCAAGTTGTACATTATTATTTTTTTTAAGGATAATAAAAAATGCGTTTATTATCAGCCAATAAATAATAAATGTATTATATTTTAAAATTTATATTGCATGGCAAAGAAATTTTTAATCCTTACTAGTGCTGTAAAAATTTGTAGAAAAAACAGTTTTATTGTAAAATCAAGTTTAAAAAATTTTGTATTGAATACATTATACCACGCATAACCAATAATTAAATATTTACATAAAACAAATAATTTAACAATGCTTTTTGCATATTAAATACTTAATTATTTGCCAAGAAATAAATATTGCGTCTTCTACCGCTATGGAATCGTGTTACTACCAACAAAAAGTGCCAGCTGGAAACTTAAGCTGGGTATTAAATTTAAGTGTTTATTTAGTTTATTTTAAGTGGTTAAATGCTTTTTACCAAGGTTGTGTAAACCGTACATTATTTTTTACTTTCCAGCGGAGTGTTTTTTTACAGAGTTTGCTAATTGTTGACATAATATAATATTTGCGTCAAAATTAATTCTATTTAGTTTGGTTAAATTTTTTTTTCAACAAATTTTTACAGCACTAGTAAGCATTTAAAATTTATTTTCAAACCAATTTAAATTTTATAATGTAATGCATTTATCGGCTGGTAATAAGCGCATGATTGTAAATATATTTTATATACTATAAGAAGTTTAATGGATGAAGAGTTTCTTTTTTTTTTTCAAAATAATGATAAAGTACAACTTAAAAATGTATCAAGTACAATGTTAAAAAGTTAATTTCATAAAGTTAAAGCAAAAAAATAAAATTAAATTTACATCAGGACTGACGATACTGGGGAGGCCAGGGGGACACGTGCCCCACCTTTTTTTTTTTTTTTTCCTAAAGAAAGTTTTAGATATAGAAGACTTTGTTTAAGAATTGACAATTGTGCCTCCTCCCCACTTCAAAACCCGTGTCGTTGGCCCTGTACACTATACTTCTTTTCATAAAACCAGTGGAACTAAACCTTTCATAGTAATTACTTTTGCTATTACCATAACCACAAAAAAAATTGAATGGATTTAAAAAAAATATGATTACTATTATAATAGTACAAACAATAGTAATCATAATATGTAACATAATAGCAATAACAACAATAATAATAATAATAATAATAATAATAACAATAATAATAATAGTAATAATAATAATAATAATAAAATATATAAAACAATAATATAACATTGATATAATAGTATAACAATATAATATAACAATATAATATAATAAATAATATAGTACAACAGTAATAAATAATGGTAAAAAAATATGATTATTATAATACTCAAAGTTTTTGAAATGCATCCAACTTTTTTTGTGGTACAGCAACAATTTTTTGTCGTTAACATAGTTATATCACTTTAGAATTATCATTTTTAACATTCTTTTTATATATATACGCTCATTTATTATTTTTTTTTTAAAAACAACCTTTGTTTGCTATTACTTGAGTTTGTTTCTATCAGATTGGTTTAGAAAATGGTAAAATATTTTTTAACAAGGCTGTGCAAACCGTACATTATTTTTTACTTTCTAGTCGAATGTTTTTTTACAGAGTTAGTTAATTGTTGACATAAAATATTATTCGCGTCAAAATGAATTGTATTTTGTTTGTTTAACTGTTTTTTCTACAAATTTTTACAGCACTAGTATGTATTTAAATTTCGTTGCAAGCCAATATATATATATATATATATATATATATATATATATATATATATATATATATATATATATATATATATATATATATATATATATATATATATATATATATATATATATATATATATATATATATATATATTTATAGTACAATGCGTTTATTATCTTTTGGCTGATAACTAATGTATAAATGTAAATATATTTTGTCAGCTGAAAAACAATGTTCTTCTTAAATTGTATCCTAAAATGCTGTTTCAAAATATTTATTCGGAAATTTATTGAATAAAGATCTTTTTTTTATCTTTAAAAAATAATAATAAAGTACAAGTTGAAAATGTATCAAATATAGCGTAGAGTAAAAGGTTAAAAATAGTTTTTGAAAGTTAAAATTCTAACTTTTAGTTCAGAGTTAATATTTCCATAAATTTGTCCAAACTGTCGTATCAAATACCTGGAATATTTTGTGGGCTTTTGGTAGTTCATGTAATTAGTTGGAGTAACTAATATAGATTCGAAAAATGACAAAACTGTTAAAATGATTAAATAAATATTTAATACTTAATCGCAGCTTATTTGATCTTTTAAAATTCATAAAACATTTATTGACGCAATCAAAGTTAACTTCACTTCATTTTTTTTATTTTAAAATGATAAAAAGTGACAGCGCAAAAATTTTTTTTTTTTTTTTTTTTTTTGCTTTATTTATTTATTTATTTTTTAGAAATTTTACAGTTTTTAATTTACATATAATACAAATTTTACAGTTTTTAATTTAATTTTACTTTTTAATTAAGTTTTAGTTTTGAATGTCTGCAACTGGTAGTTGGCATTTTTTTTTAATTTTCAAAAACCTTTAGTTTTTTACGGAATACATTAATAATTTTTTTTTGTTGTTGATCCATTAAATTCCTTTTGTAGCGAAGTGTCATAAATATTAAGTTCGAAAAAATATGTTAGTTATTGACTTAAGAACACTCTTAAATCAGCAACTAGACATTTGTTCGTTTGTCGCTATCATTTATTTTTGTGGCAATAATAATGTAAGAAAGAATCACCAAAATTAGAATACTTTAGATAAAAAAAATATTACATCTAGAGCAATAACACGAAAATGAGTATATAGTATTTTATCTTCAATATTTGCCGTGTAACTTTACCAAATAATAATAAGAAAACATTCCAAAATGATTTCTATTATTCCTTTCAAAAATTAAACAATTTTTTTTGTATGCACTTTTACCTTGTAAAAATATTGACAGTAGGTGGTTAATAAAATAATAATAATAAAAAAAAATATTACAAACCTGTTAGCCGGATAATTTGTGAACATGTTAGCCGGATAATTTGTAAACACGTTAGCCGGATAATAATTTAAAAAAAAACGTAACTACGACAGATTTCAAATACTTCAACTATGATTGAGTTGTAAATCAACAACATATGCTAAATAAATAAAAACGAAGTTATATTGACTAAATAAAAAGTATTGAATAAAACAATACTTTTTATTTAGTCAATAATTGAAACAAATACTAAATAAAATGTTCTGAGCAACAACTTGATAGTTACGTACTTTTCAAATGGAAACAAGCAATTTCTCTAAATGAGAAATTGCTTATTTTCATATTTTTATAAATTTATTGTTTCATTAACTATTCAAACATTGCTATGGGGGCCAAATAAATGTTTCTTTCCCCTCTCTCTCCCGATTTAGTAAAATTTATACTTTTTACTACTTAACTGGACCTTTTTTGGAATCACTTATTCGTACATTTTTTAAATTTCTGACACAACATGCGTTAAACAGGACAAACAATTAAAGCTATTTTAGTTTATTTTTTCAAAAAGAGTACTTTTTACATTTTAAATGTTATCGAATAGTCTCGATTTAGTAACAAACTTTTTAATCATTCATATAAACAGTGGACCTTATTCCTTTCCATGCTCCAAAAAAAAATTACATAAGTAATGAATAATATTCATTTTTCATATTTTCATATTTATGTTTTGAAGGTTTTCGAAGTATTCTTAGGACATAAACTATTAAAATTATTAAATTTTTTTTAACATTTTGAAAATAAATTTACATAAAAAAAGAACTAAAAATAAGATAAGTAATAAAGTTAACTTATAAAAAAAAAGAAGAAAAATTTCAAAAAAAGTTAAAGACAAATCTTAAATAAAAATGACATCGCAAACCTTCACCTTCAATTGACATTTACATTTCAAAAATAAATCAATGCTTAAATGTATATAATATGATGAAATTTAGTTTGGGAATTAATTGTTATGCAAAATTTTGTAACCGTTTACAGTGGACAATTAATTGTAAGGTAAAAATTGGTTACCTTATTTTCAAAAGTATAAATTAAAAAGCATTCTTGTAACCATTGTAACTTTATTTTATTATTTTCCTTTTTAAATACTTTTACAACTTTTTGACTAAATTTTGACTAAATTTTTTACTGAATTTTTTTGCCTTAAAAAAATATTCAGGTAATGTAAAGTTTATTTTTGTAACAAGAGACTTGTCACATCGGCATCAAATGAAATAAATCATAAAACATATGTCGTGCATGCACAGTCATTCTCTGTTATAGTTCATTGTTATTATTTTTTTAATTATTATTTTTGCCCAATAG